TCAACTCTGTTTTGCTCGGGGAGGGTGTGACCGCTCAGACGGTAGATTGCCGGCCTTCGGCGCACGGATTATGTCGATCATTCCGCCAGTCGCACTCTTTCACCATAATTTTGGATGACGTGATTGAAACATCACATGTACTACATTTTCAGTCACCGAGAGTTACTCCGACGCACTTATGAATTTTGTTTCTCGCAACCACCGCCAGGGTATTATTTCCGGCTTCTGATTGGCCACATTCGAATTTGTGAAGACGCCCTGGAACACGCCCAGCCTGCTTTCGGCCAATGGCACTTCCTCATTTGTCTCCTATACTTCCCAACGAATGGCCAAACTTTCTACATATATGGAACGGAGTATAGGGCAGCGTGTCTTAAAGGGATACTGAAGCGAAACTTGAAATACACCTATTATGGTCAGAAATAGGTTCAATATGATCAATGATATTCATAAATCATAATCGCGCGTTTGTATTTTGAACGGATGGCTATATTTTTCACCCTGATGGGCCCGATTGGGCGCGCGCTCAAAAATCGGCCATCGGAGAGCGCGATGCGTCTTGGGATATTGGGCGCATTCGTGACGTCACTTGTGCCGGTCGGGAAAGGCTACGGCGTGAATGTTGTGGTTACGAGCGTTGCCACTTGGTGGCGCGTCGACGATTTACGACCTGTGACAACGTGGCCGTTTGAGATGTGCAAGGGCTGCACGCACGCTGCACCACGGGACCACGGCAGCACTGACAAAACCAGCTCTGAGGCCGGATTCTCAAAGCGAATTCACGACGAAAAAAGTGCGTACGACAAATTTGAGAGAAAACCCGTGCTCTCGAAACGAAATTGTCGTAACCTTTGCGCAGGTTACGACAGAATCCTACGACAGCTCCGAAGCTGTCTTACGCACTTTTTACGATCAAATCAACAAGGCCGACAGCGTCGCTCAGTTACTTGGTATCGGCCACCAACGGACATTTATTTTTCTTCGTGCTCTTCTCGTGCGTCCCGACTTCAACCAGCAAGAAAAAAGGAAGGAGTACTTAAAACAGACCACGACGATCAAGAACGCAGGATCTACAAACACACGAGAAGAGCTACAACAGCCACGATTCTGCCGACCGAGCGAGCTCGGCAGAATATAGTAGGCCTAGCAGCAACATCGACTCGGCGCACCGTTGCTCCGGCGGTCCTTGGCCAAGACCGTCTGTCCATGACCGGCTGGCCTGCTGAATGGAATATGCCCGCGCGACCCTTGTGGACCCTTACCGGATGAGTAGTTTGATCCCTGAACTAAATTTCAGAGGTCAATATTTTCCCCTTGTCATTTCGATCTCCTTGTTTTCCGAGACAGCGGTGACGAACGCTGTCGTCGAAAAGGGACTCTCATTGATTCTATCTCCTTGTTTTGTGTGATATAGAGCTCAAATAAACGCCATACGGATTACCTTGGCAACTCGGTATGTACACTCAAAGCGGCTTTGGTACACTCTGTTATTAGTATGCCATTTTTATTCTGACTCGACGCTACGTCAGTGTCGAGCTATAGCAGTTCGTGGGAGCTACGCGATGTCGGTCTAACCTTTCTTTGCCGAGTGTCATGTCAGTATCGAGTTGCAATTGTAAAAAATCGGTCCAGAAGCGCTTACCGAGACGCGGTCTAACAGAGCGAATCCAGCACTTCGATCAAACGCGCGTGTCCGCTCCGAGTGTGAACAGGTATTTGGCATTTGCGTGGCTCTTGCTGACACCCTCGTAGTTCAAACATATCCTTTTTAACGTCGGCTTGCAGCTCGCGACTCGCAGCAACTAATACCGGCCGTGCCAGAAGCATGCTCGGGCCGTGTCGTGCAAAGAGCCGCAACGAGAACGAGCTCACTGTGGCCAACTACGCTTTGGCTTTCTCCGCCAAGGCTTTGCGAACGCGTTCAGGCCTAGGCGAATTCTGCCGGCACGCCGTATTGCCGCAGAACGGCGCTGCTATTTTGGCACAAGTGATGTCACGAGAACTTCCCCCCATCCACCAGATGAGAATTTGAAATCGTTTAATTATGTTTAAAATTAGTTCTCCTGTGTTTTACAGCGCAATATTTATATTTCCGAGGTGGTGCCTGTCCCTAGCCCATATTTATGCAACAAGATCGGCGCTAAAATTTCGTTTCACCACCCCTTTAATGCAATGAAATTTCGTAAAGTCCAAAACCGGGTACAGCAGAGCGACCGGCCAAGGGGAAAAGATCAGACGGTTTGAAAGGCGTGTCTTGCAAGGCAGACTGGTAAACTGAACAATCACGGGCGTTGGAACACTGTGAAGAACATCAGGGGCTTATTTACTGTCCTAAAAGAACTGAAGGAACACAAGTGTTGGAACACTGCAAAGAACCTCGGAAGCTTATATATTGCCTTTAAAAAAAAAAATGAAAAAACTGAACGAGCACGAGCGCAAGAACGTTGTGAAAAACCGCGGGGGCTTTTTGTGTCCAGAAAAGAGTTAAACAGTCGAAAAAACGGGACGGGCCGACAGGCTCGGCCAACGCACCAAAATATAGCGGTAGCTGACGCGCCGAAATATAGTGGTAGCTGACGCACCAAAATGTAGTGATCCTCTGGTGGAGAGGCGACGATGATGGAGGTTCGACGATCCGGCTGTTACTTGGCAGCAGGAGACATCCAGGAAGGGCCGGTAGAGCGGCAGCGCTATGGGGTGTCCTGATGGGTGGCGAGGCAGAGGCGATTGACCTTTAGATTTAGGTTTAAGAAATCATAGAGCAGAACATCAAACCAGAAGAACGCAAACGGTGAAAGAGGCGAAAGTTCGGGCTCGCGCTGGCGCTTGTAAAAGCACAAATAGCGCTCGTGACGACACAACAACCTAGTAAAAGCCAATTACTACGCTGCCACTGAATCTCAACCTGCTACTGAGTTGGAAAGTTCGCGCACTACGTACGTAGAGCCAGGAGATACAACCACGACGGGTGCAGCTCAGACATTCAACCAGTCCGAGATTGATGAAAACAGTACGGGCGACACAGACACATACCTCTGAGCATGTTTACCCTGCCGATCCTCGGTCCCAGTGTTCAATGGTTCAACACGATCAGATATACAACTAATCATTTTTTTTAAATATTCTTTGCAATAAAATAGGTCAGAAAGATGTCCTCACCTCAGTTCAGCGAACACCCACGCCGCTTGTTGTTGTTGTGGTGCCACAGCTACACGCTACACCCCACCACGGTCCACGGCTGTCGAGACCAGTGTTGCTGCGCGCGCTGACAAAATGTTTATTCCACCAATTTACGCGAATTGCCCAACATATGTGATCTTGGCGGATCTTAAAAGATCACGAAAGCTAAGGAAGCATATCATTTATAGTCTTCCAGTAGTTATCCAAGTTACTAATATTATTTACGACTGCCTGCACGTTATATCGGACTCGAAAGTGAATACCACCCTGTCGTCACCTGCAGAAAGGCGGTCATTCCACAGCGGTTTGGGGTCGTAACTCGCCTTTTGGGGTAGTCAAAGCCTCCAAAGCGCCATTTGACCACCCAGGGTAGTCATTTTTTCTTAGAGTGTACACCCTTACACACTTGCACACTTTTGTAGGGTGTAATGCCGGCTTGAAGACCCATTACATGGGTGTTATTGTGTCCAAAACACCCTTTTCTAGGGGTTTTAGGGTGTGAGTTACAGACACTACAAAACACCCTTAAGGTTGTAAATTAATTTAGAGTGGGGCGGTTCGGAGCCAGGGCGAAAAAAGCGCCCGAAAGTTGCCGGTTCTTGTCGGAGAACCACCACCTGAACGGTGCGCACCGGCCGGAAACCGACCACGCGAACGCTATTGCCGACTTTCCGACAAAATATGTAGCCGACGATTGACCACCGGAATTCGCCATCACGCTAAAGAAGAGAGATGCTTTTGACACAGGATATGTCAAAGAAAGATACTTTTAACATAATGTGTGTTAAAGAAGAAAGATACTTTTAACATAATGTGTGTTAAAGAAGAAAGATACCTTTAACACAAAATGTTTCGAGCTTCCTTTTCCCTCTCAAAACTGGGTCGCTCTCTTTGATCACGAGCCTCGTGAAGGAGCGACACGCTGGGAGCGCTACACAGCACGGTTTCTCCGCCAAATTAGGGGGGATATTAGGGAATTGTAGTAGACCGTTTTTCTCCTCCGCTACGGTATCCGTGAAGAAAATGCCGCATCTGCGCATGCGCGCCGCCAGCCTTGTCTGCATTACGGAGCGCTATCCGGGTGCTTAGCGGGCTGCGGAAACGCTCTACTACAATTCCCCATTACCGAGTTTTAGTAGACCTTGTTTCCCCCTCCGCTAAGCCCCTCCGCTACCCTGAACTTACAGCCAAGGCCATCGGCACGCAGGCGCAGCGGCGGTTTCTTCGTAGAGTAGGGTTAGCGGAGGGGGAAAGACGGTCTACTAAAACTCGCTATTAGGGAGTTTTCGTAGATCGTTTTCACCGTCCCGCAACGCTCTTCGCACCCCGCTACAATACCCGGAACTCTACAGCCAAGGCCATCGGCGCGCAGGCGCAGTAGCGGCTTCTTCGTTGCGGAGAGCTTAGTGGAAGGGGAAACGCGGTCTACGAAAAGTCCCTATTGACGGCGTGACTTGATTTCACGTGGCCTTTGTTGAGGGAGGGATGGGGAGAAAGGAAAGAGGGGGGGGGGGATAGGAGTTATGTTACAGGTTAGAGAGGGAGGAGGGGGGCAGGTTTGGAGAGAGGGGTCACAGGAAGAGGCTGATGAAAGTAATAAAAAAGAAAATAAAAAAGTTAAAATAGAAACAATAAATAAATAAAAGATACAAATGCACAAAAAATAAGCTTAAAAAGATTTCGAAAAGTGTGTGAGGTTTGTCCGACATACATTCCAAGCTCCCTGGTGTTTGTCAGCATGAACAAGCTTGTCTTAATAAATGATAGATATAGAGGAACGTCAGAGGTTACTTTTTATTGATCAATCACCGTAACCAAGATTATTTCTTTCTTAAAAAATTCGAATTTTTCAAATAGCTTATATACTCTTCTTGCTTGTTCAAGTCCCAAACTACAAGCTTTCGTTCCACATCTGGAGTGCATTTCTGTAAAAAAAAAAAAAAAAAAAGAAAATGCGACACTGGTTTTATCACAATCAGAAGATAAATATTAACGTTGTAATACGTACAGCTTCTTTTTGGTACTAGAGACGTTTGTAATTGCGCAACATTTTATATATGAAAGAATATTCTATAAAAGATCCACCTTGAAATACGCGTTTAAATGTGCTTTCAACAAATGAAATTAACGTACCTGAGTGGAACCTGAGATTAAAAAGGCGGGGAAATGTTAGTTTCGGTTCTCGCACTAACAACTATCCTTTTAGTATCTGGATTGAAGCTAAAAGGATACTGTAAACGACTTATTTTTCGCGGGCTCCATGTTTCGCGATTTAGGTCAAAGCTGAAGTTTTAAAATAATTTGCAGGTTATAATTTTTGGCGACGCGGTGAATATCAATATAGATTCCAATGTGTTTATATCTTACCGGAATTGTTCGCGGGATCTATTATTCGCGAATTGTAGGCAATTCGCTAAATTGGAGAAAACTAGGTCCTCGCAAAAATTAAGTCGTTTACGTAGCCTTTTTAGCTTAAGAAGGCATGCCAAAGTTGTTGGATATTCGCCGTATCAATTTAATTATCGGTGTTCATTACCTACGAAAACTAGGTCGTTCTTTTGTCAACGTAATGGCAGTCACAGAAAAAAAAAAACATTAGAGAAAAAGCAACGGTGTTTACCCCTCAACTGAAGTACAGAACATGCGGCCACGTGATCTGAAGTCGAATATATCCCATCTGTGTTTAACAAAGTCATATGCTGGTGCTGAAAACGCACGGGGCGCGCGATGCGTCTGACTACGACCGACTGCCCCACATCCACTTTTAAGCCTCTTGTGACTGGTCACAATCGGCTGCGCAGCAGCGCCGGTTGTTCTAAGCAGTCTCAAAAGGCTTAAAAGCGGGCATTTAGCCTTCCCTGTAGTAAACAATTACAGGTGTGTGAACCCTCCTTTAGGGTTCGGCTGCTCCCGTCACTGCAGTGATTTGACGCGAGTCACTTCCTCAATACTCGTCAAAGCATTGGTTGTCACGAGTCTATGCTGAGTATTATGCACAATACTCGTGTTCAAACTATGGCCTGCATTTCAATATCTTTCTAACAAGTAGGGTTTCGTTTGTTCGGAGATGTTTTTAGGGAAGTCGCGAAGTTTTGTCGAACCTGATTTTTAGGTTGAACTTTTGGGGTTCGACTGATTCGAACCGGTTCGACAAACTTTCGAACTTTTAACCAGATTCGACCGCAATGAGGTTATTAGTACTAGGAGGGGGCACGTTGCAATATTGGTGAGGCCTAGTCATAAAAAAGTTTAAACGATTTTGTGCCCAGCGTGACCACAGATCTTTCTGACGATTGGTGCGCGTGACATGTCACGTGTGAGATGGATGGTTGATTGTAGAAGGACTCCTTGCAGGCTTGCGCGCGCTCCGTCCGGTGGGTTTTATCAGATCGAAGGCTACACTGTGGTGTATTCTAGTACCCCATAGCTAGACGAAGGCTAGCTACGGTCACGTGATGTGGTCACGTTGACGTGGTAAGTGTGGAGAGGAAGGAGGAAAATGAGAAAGAGGCGAGGCGTCAAGGGAGCATGGCTTGTGGAGGCTACGCGGCCGACGTCATGCCCTCTCCTACCCTTCTGTCCTCCTTGTTCGACCGGTTCGACTTTGCGGACAGTGTGGCCAGACCTTGATACAAACATGACTAAGTTTGGAGAATTTGTTTTACTGCAAAGGGTTATTTTAATTTTATGAACAGTTGAAATTAAAAGAAACGTATTCTAATCACTGAAAAAGTTAATAACTTATTTTTTTTTGTACTGTATTAACTGAAATAACCAATCAGTGCTTCAATTTATTCATCCCTTAGCCATCACCATACAATCCGAAGCCAACTGGCCAGCCTGTCGCGCATGCGCATAGCATGCGCGACAGGCATGCTATGCGCATGCCTGTCGCGCATAGCATGCATAGACAGGCGACAGACTGAGTCGAACCTTTCACAAGAAGTCGAAAACGTCGAACCTGGTTGAACTCGAACCTCGAGCGGTTCGCGACGCCCCTAGTTGTTTTCTCAAGAATTTCGGAGGATGTTTTTCGGAGTTTATTTTTCGCTGAAAATGCGAGGCTTGCTTTTTGTTAGATTCTCATTCCTCTGAAATTCGGAGTTTAGATTATTGTGTTCCCGATTTTTAGTACTTAAAAACAAAATGAATGAAAATCAGGTCCATGACCTGTTGCCCTGAAGGAACCTTGACGAGCTGAAAGGCAAATCCCTTTTGTCAGTAGTTCTAGATTTCAAACGAAACGGAAGTGGTATTTCCTCGTAACCGCTGATACTGTGCTCTTATAGGGTTTACTTGTAAAACACCGTCTTTTTTAAGTGACCTCGGTATTCTAAATATTCGGAGAAATCCGAATTAAAAAAAAAAAAAATTTACACACAAGTGTTTTTTTGTTTTATTTATCCGAAAACACGGAAGCCTATTCATAAGTTACTTCCCTGGTGTACGAGAACAACGAAACTAGGGCATTAAACGTTGCGTAGAAGTTTAAAAGAAAAAGAAAACGACCACTTATAGCGTTGAACTAAACCTCTTTCGAAAGTCTGCCATCTGGTAGAATCTTTGGGGTCCCTGTACAATCGCGGGCAGAGATGACACAACACAACCAAAGCTACGAGACTATGAATGCAAACCAGACTTGTGCCTATCTTAAATACTTCACTGAAGCTACTGTATTTCAAAAGCTTTTGACAGCGTTTGGTATTTTGCAAATACATTTGCTCTAGAGTCTTTGCTACTCTATTTTAAATACAATTCTGACTATCTTTTACTCACTACCTTAAATACATGTTTGAACATTGGACAAACATTTGACGCCTGAACAAACTACCGGACTGGGGATCCTCAGAGTCCAGAGCAAAGCTGTAAAAATTGCAAAATTGGAGCCAAGCGACGGAACACAGAACAGGAAACAAGGCACGAACAAAATGCAGTCGGCAAATTCCGACAAAAAACAAACGGATAGCTTCAGTATGTCCGCCTCTACGTCTTCTCTTGATCGTTTTATTATTTTTTGTTCAAGTTGTTTTTGAACAGCACGTCACACTTGGAGCTAAAGAGGTGCTAGTGACGTCATCCGGATTTTAACCTTTGTGTGAAACTGATTTAGCGGATGAATTCGATGCCAACGCTTGGTACGATCACAGTAGGGAGTTTTCGTAGATTAGGGAGTTTTCGCAGACCGCGTTTCCCCCTCCGCTATGCCCTCCGCAACGAAGAAGCCGCTACTGCGCCGGCGCGCCGATGACTTTGACTGCAGAGTTCCGGCTAGCATAGCTGGTTGCGGAGAGCGTTGCGGGACAGCGAAAATGATCTACGAAACCTCCCTATTAGGAAGTTTTAGTAGACCGTGTTTCCCCCTCCGCTAACCCTCCGCTACGAAGAAACCGTCACTGCGCCTGTGTGGCGATGGCCTTGGCTGTAGAGGTCCGGGTAGCCGAGGGGCTTAGCAGAAGGGGACACGGTCTGCTAAAACTCGCTATTAGCGAGTTTTAGTAGACCGTGTTTCCCGCTCCGCTAAACCCCTCCGCTACCCAGAACTCTACAGCCGAGGCCATCGGCACGCAGGCGCAGTGGCGGTTTCTTCACAGCGGAGGGTTAGCGGAGGGGGAAACACGGTCTACTAAAACTCTCTATTGTCTCGGGCCTTCCGCAATGTTTTCCACAACCCACTAAGAGATCTGAGACTCTGCAGGCTATTGGCGACTGCAGCGAAATCGACGCCGCGTAGCGGAAACGCTAAGAAGCTTAAGAGAGGAGGTCGTTTCAACTCTGTCGTCTTATATCGCTGCTTGGTCCGTAGGCAGCATAGAAACAAGCATCGTTTCCAGTACTTATTTTTATTCTTCCGCCGTGTCATTTCTAGGCACTGAATATAGAAGAAGGTTTCTACCGTCGTAAAATCACTTTGCTTTCACATGTAACACCGGTTTTACGCTGCAGTGAAAGAAATTTATGGTGGTCCGCGTGATGAATGAAAAAAACGACCTCCATTCGTTTGCTGTTTTGCCTGACCACAGCGAATATAATTTCTCGAGCTTTTAAAGAAAGCATTGTACTGTCTTCCAGAGCAAACGAACAAATTACAGCTTTTTAATGAGCTCGTACACGACAGGACAGATTCAGCTGGAATGTTTGTTTCATTTTATGTTGATTTCTTTTTTGGCACCATACGTTCAGCCATGTCAATCTGCAAAGGTTTTAACAGTCGAAAATATTTCATCACACAAGATAGCCGAGCTGAATGGGTATTCCCCGTTCACAACATGAATTTGAAGGATCTCATAATTCGAACAGCACATTGTACGCAGTACTACACTGTGCCGCGTTATCCGAACAGGATTTGAAAAACGACTCAAATAACACACCGTATCTAATATACAATGTCCACGATAGTATCTTCACGCCGACCGGACAGAATCTTGCTTGTTTTAGCACACGTTTTCTTTAAAAAAAAAAAGCTGCTTTTTTTCCACACCAATAAATCAAATGAGCGAACGTGTCTATTTTCTCCCGATACCTCGGACCTTACCCTATCAGCTACAGCAAAGTGATTAGGTGGTCTAGTCGGTTCAGTCTTCAAAAAGGAATAGCGCCAAAAACACAGACAAGGACGAAGAAGTGAACAAACACAAGGCGCACTCGCAACTCTTGTTTATTCGGAAACAACAATCATAATATAGGCCCACTACAACGTGTCACTCATCACCGTGTCGATACATTGCTTGTCTAATAAATTCCAACTCTTTCTTCAATAGGGCAAGTGACTCTTCTCTTATAAAATCTGCACCCTTATTCCGGATTTCAAATGCCTCATGCTGCTCTCTGCTAGTTCTATCCTGGTACCGAGCCAAAATCGTTGTCATGTAGAAGAAGCGTACATGGCCACTTGTTGCAATGAATGGCAAGATGACTTAACGGGCTG